CAGAAAAGGCCGCAACTGGTGCACCAGGCGTACCCGGTAAAACGCCCCCCTGGCCACAGCCGTCAACTGGTCTTCCAGTGTCAGCCGTGGATCCAGGAGGACCCCCAAATTGCGTACCCTCTCCGAGGGAGCCAAAGTTTCGCCCCCTATAGTCAGCGATGGAATCAGCTGACCATACCTGGGAGCCGGCAACCACAGCTACTCAGTCTTGGAAGGGTTGAGCCTGAGTCTGTTTCTCCCCATCCAGACCCGTACGGCCTCCAGACACCGGGCCATCACGTCAAGGGCATCATTGGGGTGGCCTGGGGTGGAAATGTACAGCTGAGTATCATCAGCGTACTGATGGAAATCCACCCCAAAGCCACGGATTATCTCCCCCAGCGGCTTCACATAAATATTGAACAGTAAGGGGGAGAGGACCGACCCTTGTGGCACCCCACAAGTTAGGGGCCTTGGGGCCGACCTCTGCCCCCCTGCCAATACAGACTGCGTGCGGTCGGTGAGGATGATGCCTCGACTTACAACTGCAACAACTTAAGTCTCTAATTCCAGGTTCAATTATGGTCATAAGTCAAGGACTACCTGCAATGATTAAAATCTTCTCTCTAATGGCAGAGAGAAGCCAATTATTTGGTTTCTCTCTGCCATTATTTTAAGAGACTAAAGGCAAAAAAAAGGGAATTTGATCATAAATTTTAAAAAGAAAAAAATATTATCCTAACAAAAGAAAATTCTGTCTCCAGTTATATTATGTTTTAGTAATGTGTAGTGTCTAGTAAGTGTAAATACTGTAGGAAAATCATGGGAAAAGGTATGAACCTCTTTCACCCCAAACTGTAAATAGTCAAAAGATATAGTATACATTTTCTTTGCATGTGCTTCCCCTCAAGCCTTTAGTTTATTTTGTTTGGAGTTGAGGAGGATGAGGATAAATCCAGTCATCTGTTGATTAAAAACAGTCTGCCAGTCTGCTTTTATGCTTGGCAGTAGTTGGTAACCTATTCTGCATCACGGAGTGATAACTCAGTCTGTCAAGCTGCTGGTAGCTTTCCAGTGGTGACATTTAACCGTGTGTGTGTGCGTGCTTGTACTCCCATTTTCACTCAGACAGCAGAAAACTCCCCAAATCAAGCAAAAACTGCATCATACAAACCCAGCAATTTTTACCTTATTTTAGGGGTTACGGTGGAGTGCCAAAGTGGCTATGGATTGCCCATCCCTCATATTCGTTATGGTTCCAGACCAGACCATTTTTCATCTAATAGTTTCCTGGATCAAGGGGTTGACAGCTCTGCTAAGCTGCAAAATAAGTTCTTGAAAGAGGATAGAGAAGAAGAAGAAGAAGGTTATCTACTCCAGTTAGAGGAATACAAGACTGGACTGCTACATAGAAGAATGGGCTAATGAAATGTCCTTCTCTTTTAAATTCCCCTCCCCCAGCCCCTTGGACTGCTCCTTCAGGAGTTGCCTATTGAGCGTAGAACAGTTGTCCTTGAGGTCCATTCTGTTTTACTAACAATCCCCCTTGCTTCTCCTTTCTCCCCCACCCCACTTCTTCTCTTTTCAGGCAGTGTTTCAAATGCAGTCGGTGAAATGCCTCAAGTGCCAGGAAGAGAACCGGGTGGTACTACCGTGCCAACACACTGTGCTGTGTGAAACCTGTGCCGAGGAGGGTGAATGTCCCATCTGCCATCCCAACAGGCCACTTGCTCTCCAATCGTGACTGTACTAGGACATTTGTTTAGCATATCACATAGAATTTTTAAACTTTTCTCAGATATATATATATATGTCTATATATATCTGTGTGTGAATGTGTGTGTATATATGTACGTATGCACACACGCACACATAAAAACAAAATATTAGTTGCAGAGCACTTTTTAAATACTTTGCATCTCCCATTTAAAGGATCCCTGCTCCCCATCCCCACGGTCCCATTAATTCTAATTCATTAGGGACTTTTAGAGCAGTTTTTTAATATAGATCAAAGAGCCATTTGCAAAATCTGTTTCTCCTCCCTCCCTTTTTTATTTAGGAAATAATCTTTTTTTAGCCTTTTCTGGAGAGATATTTAGAGGGAGGATGAAGAGAGTTTGCAAGTGATTTCCAACCTAAGGATTGGGCTTTGGGGGAAGAGAAAAGATAGAAATCAATTTTCGATTCATGTCTTCATTTCCTTCTTTCGTCCTATAGTACTTTAATATTTTTATTTGTATCACAACCATTACAGGTGTGCAAAGTCTTTGAAGCAACTCTTTTGTAATGCCCCCAAAAGGCAAGACATCTTTCTTTGAATTGCTAAAGCAGCTTTTGCAATGCTCACTTCAGGAATGGCTTTCAAAGCTTCTGGGTAAATCTTGCAAAAGATTGATTTGCTTTAACAATGGGAAGAGCAGTGTTTTCTTCATGCGGTGTGCTTTCTGAAACACTGCTTTCACAGGCTTTGTGCAGCCATAATAATCTTACTCATGCCGGTCAGTAGTCCCTGCTTATGAGCCTCAATTATTCAGCATTCTCGTGGCCTCCAGTATTGTGAAAGTTTCTTGACTTGTCTCTTGGAAAACCAAAAGTTCCTCTTTTGAAAGTCATTTTGCATACTTCTTTAATTCTGTCCGAGAAATAAAAACACAAAACACACTGTAGAGGTAAGGCCAATGTTAAGATACTTTTTGTCATCGCCACTACTCTTCAGTAAGACTTTGAGAAACATTTGAGTGGGACTTTGTAAAGAGAAAAGTTCAAATTTGTAATCTGCATTATCATGGAAGTGGAGAAGGGCTTCAGAATCAGGCTTTGACAGTGGAGCCACTTGGAGTTCTTTTTGGTCTGTCTAAGAGACGTTTGTAACTCACCAAACAAATTACAATCCATTAAATTTCCTAGCTTTTGCTTACCTGCAGAAATTGAGCATTCTGGTTAAAAAAAAAATCAAATTACAGATTGCAATACATAGTGGGCTGTGCTTGGCTCGGTTATCCAACTTGTTTAGTATTGAATACTTGGTATTTCTTGTCAGTAGACAGAAACAAATCAACACGTTTCCTTTATCATTCTTATCTATGAATGGTGCTGTTACAAGTGTTGTATTTAAAAGCAAACTATTCTATAGTTCAGAGAAGGATGGCTCTTTGTGCATTCAGAAATGGGGAATATGCAGATTTGCAGCACAAAATCACCTTTCCTGAACTGTGCAGCACTTCATATTGTTGGTAAGTTGTCACCAACACAAACATAGGCAGAATGTCATAGAGAAGATAGTTACTTGCTATATTTATATCTGCCTATCATAAGGCAAAATGGTTTCTTTTCCTATCTTTATCCACATTTAATACAAGAAAGCATCTGATAAGGTTTACATAGCATAGCTGAGGACTTTTGTTAGAGTTGCCAAATGAACTAAACTTGGATTCGTTAAACTAATAATTTCTGCAAAAACACAGAGATTGTAGTGGGGGGGAAAAAACAGAAAAAGACAGTTTTGCAAATGCTTAGAAGCCCTTGTATGTGTTTGGTTGCAGGATGCAAGTTCTCAAAATGTTTCATACTGAACATAAATAGTTAGAAGTGATTATTGCAACAGTGCAGGATAAAAATGGATGAAGAATGTAAGATGTCATAATATCCTCCCGTAAGATTAGTTAGCTGTTTAGGAATTAAAGTTCTTGTGATAGATTTATCATGAATACCACAAGGCCACATTTCACCACATGTAAGAGAAAGAGAAGGGAAAATTGTGCTCAGAATCCACACTGCTTCAGTTCCAAAATACATTCCTTTTTCCTTATTACTAGGAAATTTTCTCATTTCCTTGAAGTTTCTAAGCTTTCCTTGAGCATCTACATTAGGTGTTCTTCAGGGATCAATTATGTTAATCCCATGCTTCACTAGTCACCTTCTTGTGACCATTCTCTTGGGGATGGGAATATCTTTTGAGCCTGCACAGGATACCCTGTGTTTGGAGAATCCAAAGAATGATTCTAGAGAGGAGAGGAGAGGAGAGGAAATGGGTCTTTACTCTCCTGCACTTCTGTTTTGGCATTTATACCGCCAATGAGAAATGTTTTCCTTCCTACTGCTCTGCTTTTCTTCACAAAGTATCTCCTAACTTTACCCTTAGTTTAGCATCACCATTAACTTCCCTGGTTAACTTGACGTAAGTGCAAATTCCCTTCTTGGCTGGGTACCTGCCATCAAACAACTTCAATGAAGATAGTGTATGTCATCCCCAAATGACTAAAATGTCTGAATCTCTAAGCATGGTGCTTGGCATGGACTTACTAGAGAACTATATAAACCAGACAATGTGGGCAATCTTTTGTCTTAGATTGAAATGACCATTCTTATCATCCACTTTCTGGATGCAGTGCATCCAGTCCGGAGGAATACATAAGTTTGGCTTGTTGTTAAAACAGATGGACAGTAACTAACTGTCTTGAGTCCCAGGCAACAGTCAGCTGGGTTTGCAGGTGTAGTCATTTATTTCTCATGCTTTTGTGGGCCAGCATGAGTTAAAAACTTATTGAAATCAGTTTTTTAAAAAAACGTGGAGTAATTCTAAGCATGTTTACACAGAATTTAGCCCAACTGAACTCACTGGAACTTGCTTCTTAGTAAATGTGCTTCAGATTGCAGCACCAGCGAATCACTTCCTTTGAGAATTCATTTGCACTCTCCCCAGAGTGTTTTACAGAGGAGCGTCAACTCACTGATTATGTTGGTGGTTCAATTATGTGTGTTAAGTTCTAAATAATGATACTGGGGCCTAAATCCAACTGACTTTTCATTGAAATTTATGGTTTGGAATATTTCTGTTTTAAAACTTGTATCCAGTGAATGTGTTGTCCTACTGTCCCTGAGTGGTAGAGCTCTCACTGCAGTTTGTTCTTATTCAGACAGCGCAACAGCTTCCAGACAATAAAAAGCAACAGTCCAGTCTAGAAGGACTCTAATCTGCCACTTTGCACTGGGAGTTGTTTAATGTGTAAAAGTGTAATATTTAGAATTTAATCTCACTCCCTTGCTCACCAGTCTTTGCTTTGTTTGCAGTAGTTGACCCACTTTTCCCTAACCTGAAAAAGCACTGGAAACTCTGTCTTCATAAGAGGGATCCAGCCATTCACCATCAAGATAGTTTTTCCATACGTAATTCAAGTACATTAGATTTGCTTCCATAATTCCGCCCTTCTATATTTGGGGGGTTAAATATGCATTCCCAGATAATCTCAAAGTGCAGCTCTGGTTAGGTTTTTTTTTAAATTAACTTTTATGTTTGATAAAACTGCTTTTTTCAATGTGTATGTTGTACTAGTATCTGTTGTTTTCTTCATTTTTTAAAAAAAACACTTAATTGGCTTTTTTATGTATGGAGAGACACTGCTGGCTGACTCTTGTAGCTGTGTTGTTTTTGGTTATAGCCTTTGAATGTCTGTGCCATGAGGCATCCCTGGTCTCTGTGGTCAGGACACATGCTTCAGTCTTAAAGAAAGCTTGTTTGTTTAAAATATGTGAACATTTTTAAAAAAAAAAATACATACAGATACACATACATTTAAATTATGGGGAATAATACTCTGCTGGAAATGTACTAAACTATTTTGGTAACTAATTTAAAAATAATAGGAAATAAAATCTTTGAATCGGGTCTATAGTGTTTATACAGAATTGCAGCCATTTGCAGATGCTCTGGTGGTGACTGATTTGTAACACTTACTTTTGTAAACATTGTGTTTTATTGCTTCCTCTGCCTTTCTATGTGATTGTCCATAGTGAATTGTTGACTTTGTGGGATGATCTGATTTACCCTGAATTGCCATAGCTTTATTAAATTCAGCAGAATTCTTTGGGAAATGTATCACCAATACACTTGGTGTCACTTAAATTTAGATTTTTTTAAAAAAAAATCTTTTTCCAAGAACTGACAACTCTATACAATATTGTTGATTACCCAATTCCTGTCCCCAACTCCATTAGCAAATTGCTGATGGAATGTGAAAAAAGAAATTGTGTGTGAAGCCGGCTATTTACATGCATGCCACAACCTACTCTGTCTGTCTTATTTTAAGGACCAAAGAATACAAGAAAATTTGAAAAATTTCCCCATTCTTATAAATAGCTTAACAGATTCTTATCCAATTATGTCCCCTTCACCTGCCTCATAGATATCAGTATTATACATGGGCAAGAGAATATAACAGTAGATTGGTTTTATCTAAACCCGGGAATCAGAAGGACAAATATATCTCTATCCCACTCTTTTAAAAAGCACTTTTTTAAAAAAATGCTAGATTTCTATGAATTTTAATATTGAAAATGAAATACCTGAAATGTGAATGTTTTATTAGTTATCAAGTGGAAAAGCAAAAATGGCTTCTCTGTTTTTTAAAGATTTAATTCTGTATTAAATTTCTGTACAGGCAGTTTTGTTTACTGGGGTGCTTGAGAGCAATTCTGCTCTATCCTGCCAGCAATTGTCCATTAGAGGATCTGCGCAGTTCCTCTCTTTTAAACCAACAGATTCTATAGTTTCTGCCTGTCAAAAATTGGGTTTGTGAGTAAATCAACCCTAATAAAATGCCGAAGGAATTGTGTTTGGATTATGGAATTCCCCACACAGTTGAGCATAAAGCCTCTCGTCTCCCAACTCTGGTTTTTGAGCAAAGTCTTTACTAGAAAAATGTAATGCATTTCCACTCTCCAAAGGTCTTATGGAGTTGGAGGTCCAGCTATTAATACTATTCACCAATCCAAACTAGACATTTTCGTCTTGCTCTGAATATGAGAAAAATGAACACTGTATTATTCAGAGAGGTCAGTAAACCTACTATAGGAGGTATAGGGTAATTGATTAATTGAAGAATTAATAGGGAAGCCTCTAAGTGCCCACATGTGTTCCTTCCTTTTAAGATGAATGGTTTCGTGAAGAAATAGTGGCCCCCTTGCCTGTGTTCAATGCTGCAATTCATCCATGGTTTAATAAATCCAGGAGGCGCATACCCTCTCCTCTTCCTCTTCTCCAGTGCAACTATGAAAAGGAAGTTGACCTCATCTACATCCGTTTGAAATACTCACAGCTTGCTGTGCTGTTTGAACTTCTACAACTGCCTTTAGTGTTAATTGTGGTTAATGGAAACAAACCATCATTCAAACATAGCTTGAGAAACTAGTTCAT